TACCTGTGAGATTTCCCCCTTTAAAATATATATATATATATATTTAATGTGTGTGTGTGTGTGTGTGTGTGTGTGTGTGTGTATATATATATATATATATATATATATATATACACACACACACACACATATATATATATATATATATATATATATATATATATATATATATATATATTCTTATTTCTGGATATGGCCTGTCCTTTTCTGCTTAAAGAAGTCCCTTTAACATTATTTTTGTAAAGCTGGTTTAACGGTGATGAACTTCGTTAGTTTTTGCTTGTTTGGTAAACTATCTCTTCTTCAATTCTGAATGGTAACCTTGCTGGGTAAATTATTGTGTAGTTTCCTTGCTTTCAGAACTTTAAAGATGTCCTGCCACTTCCTCTAACTAGCTGGTAAAGTTGTTGCTGAGCAATCAGCTGATAACCTTAAGGAATTTCCTTTGTATGTAATTCAGTTTTCCTCGTTTCCTTCAGGATTGTGTCTGTACCTTAAACCTTGGCCATGTTAGTTACAATATGTTTTGGTGTAAGTCTCTTGGGTTTATCTTTGTTTGGAACTTCTTGTGCTTTATGGACCCGGGTGTCTTTTCCTTTTCCCAGGAATTCAGCTGTAAATGTAGTTTCTGTTCCTTCTCTCTTCTCCTTCTGTGATCCCCATAATGCTAATACTTGGGTTCTTGATGTTATCCCAGAGATCCCTTAAACTGTCTTCGTTTTTTAAAATTCTTTTTCTGTTTTCTGTTCTGATTGGTTGATTCCCATTGTCTGTCTTCAGAGTCCCTTCTTCTGTATTAGCTAATTCCTTCTAATATGTTTTTCATTTCAGTTATTGTATTCTTCAGAACTGGTTGGTTCTTTATTATACTTTCTACCTCTTTGTTAAAGTTCTCCGTATGCTTTTCTGTCACTCTCAAGTTTGGTGAGCATCTTTATGACCATTTCATTGAATTCTTTATTAGGCAAATTATTTATATCCATTTCCTTAGGTTTTTCTTCTTTTTGCAGTTTTTTGTTGTTGTTGTTCTTTCATTTGAGAGATAATTCTTGCTTCATTTCATTTAGTTTAAGTGTCTGTGTTTGTTATATGAATTCAATAAAATAGGTATCTCTCCCAGTCTTTAAAACCTAGCCTTATGTATCAGGGTCCTTGGTGTAGGCCAGTGGTCGGCAAACCATGGCTCACGAGCTGCGATTTGCCACTCTGTTGACTAATGAGTTTGCCGACCACTGGGGTAGGCTGTGTTTGTCAGGTGACTTTGGTCAGCCAGAGGAGCCGAGCAAGTGCACAGTGTCCTGGACAATGGCCCACATGAAATGGCTCCAGGTGGGAAGGCTATGTACATGTAGTAATGGCCTGTCCTGTTTGCTCCCGTTGTTTGGGACTGAAATGGGTTTGGGTGATGTGTCAGGTACACTCTGCAGTTGCCTTGCGGGTAGGCCAGAGACCCTGGGTAGAGCCCTGCCCACACTATGGAGGCAGAGGGGGGTGTAGGCAATGGTGCTCATTGGCACCTCCAACCAGGGATAGTTCTGTCTCCAGAGAGCTCCAGAAACTTCTCTCTAGAGTCTCTCTCTTGTACAGAAAGTGGTCTTATGTAGAAGTGACCTCTGAGCAGGCTTTGCTGCCAACTTGGAGCCCAGCAGGCTGCCATTTCTCTCTTGTTAATGAGAATCACCCCTATACACACACACACACACACACACACACACACACACACACACACGCACTAGTATATTTGAGTTTGCTCTTGGGAGGGGTTGAGTTCAGACCTATGCTGCCACTATTTTGGACTTTTTCCTTCTAGTTTTTAAATGTGTAATGCTAAGTGGTTTGAGATTTTGTTTGTTTCTTGAAGTAGATATATAATGCTCTAAGCTTCCCCCTTTGTATTGCTTTTGCTGCATTCCCCCAAATTTTGGTATATTGTATTTTTATTTTCATTTGTCTTTATGTATCTTTTGATCTCTTATTTCTTCTTTGACCCAGTAGTTGTTTAATGGCATGTTGTTTAATCTCCGCATATTTGTGATTTTCCCAGAAAGTATGTTTGGTATGATATCAGTCTTCTCAAATTTATCTAGATTAGTTTCATTATCCAACATATGGTCTTTCCTTGAGAATACTCTGTGTGCATTTGAAAAGAATGTGTATTCTGGCATTTTGGGATGTAAAATTCTATAAATATTAACTTCATTTAACCTGATTTGTCATCTAAGGCCCATATTTCCTTATTGACTTTCTGTCTGGTCTATTCATTGCTGTCAATGGGGGATTCATGTCGCCTACTGTAATTGTATTTTTGTCAGTTTCTCCCTTTAGGTCTGCTAGTAATTGTTTCATGTATCTTGATACTTCCAGGTGCATATATATTAATAAGTGATATGTCTTCTTAATGAATTGTCTCCTTTATCATTATATATAAAATGTCTGACTTTGTCTCTTGTTACCTCTTTTTTTTTTTTTTTTTTTTTTTTTAATCTTAAACTCTCTTTTGTCTCATAAGTACAGCTACACCCACTCCTCTCTGGGTGCCATTTGTTTGAAGCATCATCTTTGCCCCTTCACTTTGAACCTGTGTTTGTCTTTGTAAGTAGAGTCTCCTGTAGGCAACATGTAGTTGAGTCTTGTTTTATAATCCATACCTCTACTTTTGCCTTTTGATTTGTGAGTTCAATCCATTTATAATTAGGGTTTTTAATGATAAATGAATATTTACCAGTTATTTTATTTTTCTTAAAAAAATATATTGATTCTTTACAAAGAGAAAGGGAGATGGATAGAGAATTAGAAACATTGATGAGGGAGAAATATCAATCAGCTGCCTCCTGCACACTTCCCAGTGGGGATGTGCCTGCAAACAAGGTACAAGTCCTTGACTGGAATTGAACCTGGGTCTCTTGAGTCCATAGGTTGACACTTAAGAATTTTTTCTTTGTCATTAATTTTTGACAGTTTGAATAAAATGAGAACTGAAGGTCTTTTTTTTTTTTTTTCACTGATAGAATGAGGTATTCTGTTAGCTTCCTCTATTCTAACATCTAGTTCTTTGCATAGGCTTGGAAGTTCTCGTTAATTATTTCTTTAAGTAGGATCTCTGTCTCCTTCTCTGACTCTCTTTTTCTGGTATACCCTACCTATTATCCTTATGTTGCTCTTTCTAATGTAGTCAGAGAGCTCTTTTTTTTTTTTTTTTTAATTTTAGTTTTCTCTATTCTTCATGGGTCATTTCTAGGTTTCTCTCTTCAAGTTCCCTAATTTTTTTAAAGTTTATTTTTGTAGATTTCAGAGAAGAAAGGAGAGATAGAAACCTCAATGATGAGAAAGAATCATTGATCAGTTGCCTCCTGCACATCCCCCACTAGGAATCGAGCCTGTAACCTGGGCATGTGCCCTGACTGGGAATAGGTTGAGCCATGCTGGTTGGGCAAGTTCCTAATTCTTTTTTCTGTCTGGTCTGCTCTGTTTCTAATGCCCTCTAGTGCATACTTTATCTCATTTATTGAGTTCTTCAGCTCTAGAATGTGTTTCTTTTATTTTGTTTGAATCTCTTTGGTAAAGTACTGCTTTTGCTCATTAATTTTATTCCTGAATGTATTGAATTGCCTTTCTGTTTTCTTGTATATTGTTGAGTTTCTTTATAATTGCAGTCTTGAATTCTCTGTCATGTAAACCACAGTACAGTCTTCCATGCCTTTGAGTTTGGTTTCTGGAGATTTTTTATTTTCTTCCAGTTACCCTGGTGGTTCATGGCATTAAAAAAAAATTAATTTCTTTATTGATTAAGGTATCACATATTTGTCCTCAACCCCCATTCCAATTCGTTCATGGCATTTGATGGATTGTTCCTCTGTGTGTGCATTTGAGGTAGAGATCTCATGGCTCTGCTCCCCCCCCCCCCCCCCCCTTACAGTAATGGCTCCCCAGGCTCCTCTACACCCAGCTCTGCTGCAGTGGGGAGGGCAGAAGGGAGATGCCTTTTCTAGGAAGGAAACTGCTTTTACCCTTTGACCCTCCAGGTTGTAGTGTGAGGGCTGCAGCCGACTTCTCCCCTGCTATTGTGCTCCTTGCTCACTGAGCCAGGGTGGGCACCAAACTGCATCTGTGGCCACCGTCCCGGTCCTCCTTCATCTCAACTCCCTCCTTGTCCCTCCCCCATCCACGCCCCCTCCTGTTCCCTCCCCATCCCCTCCCCATCCCAACCGCCCCTCCTGTTTCCCCCTCTTCCCATCTCTCCTCCGTCCCCCCCATCCCCCTCCCTCCTGTCCCCCCCATCCCACCTCCCCCGCCTGTCCCCATCCCACCTCCCCTCCTGTCCTCCCCCATCCCACCTCCCCTCCTGTTCCCCCCCTCCCACCTCCCCTCCTGTCCTCCCTCCCACCTCCCCTCCTGTCCCCCCATCCCACCTCCCCTCCTGTCCTCCCCCTCCCACCTCCCCTCCTGTCCTCCCCCATCCCACCTCCCCTCCTGTCCCCCCATCCCACCTCCCCTCCCGTTCCCCCATCCCACCTCCCCTCCTGTCCTCTCATTTCAGCATGCCCACCTTCAGCTGTGCTAATGCATGACTCTTTCAGGCCTGTTTGTGTGTTGAGCAGATCTTTGTTGAGTTATAATTGTCTTAAGCTAAATTTAAGAGGAGAAACTAATGGAGTCTTCTCACTCTGCTATGTTACCTCTCCCCATTTACTTCAAAAAACCTATTGCTATCTATTAGGTAACAGTTTTTGAAGCCTAGTTTTTGTTGCTATCTATTCTTGAAGCATATTAAAATAGTGTTTCTTGAAACATACTGTATAATTTAAATTTTTTCCGCATTAGTGGCTTTGTACAGTATTTTTATAAGTACTTATTATTTGACTCAAATTATAATAGTGATACAATTTTAATAAAGAGAAAATAAGCAAAATAATTTTAACTAAAGGTACTTATTTCCTTCCATATTTGGTTTTCCTGAACTAGTAGACTCTGTGTGGTGAGCCTCTCCCTCTGCATTTCAGGTACTACGCCGTCATGGTGACCATGTTCTTCACGGTCAGTGTGGTGAACAACTACGCCCTGAACCTCAACATCGCCATGCCCCTGCACATGATATTCCGATCGGTGAGTATTGCAGCAGGAGTGTGCTCAGACCAGTGAGCAGAGGCTGGCTGTTACCTGAGGAAGCAAAAAGAGAGAAATGTGAAAGTGGATGGTTTACTTTTCTTTTTCTCAGGTCTTATGGGCGATTAATAAAAGGAAAGTTAACATTTTCTAGAGAAACAGATTTTAACTTTTAATTTCCTTCATCTGGTTGATTTTATATTCAAACTTGCTATGAATATTCTTTAACTTATTTCTCGTCACTTTTTCTTTCTTACATAAAATTACATTTACTTATAGTAAATGAAGCAGACCCTTCTTTCATATCTGTGTGTGTGTTGTTAATCCTCACCTGAGGATATTTTTCCATTGATTTTTAGAGAGAGTTGAAGGGAGGGAGGGAGTGAAAGAGAGAAACATCGATATGAGAGAGACACACCGGTTGGTTGCCTCTCTGTATGTGCCCCAACCATGGCCGGGGGTTGAACCTGCAACCCACGTATGTGCCCTTGATCAGGAATCAAATGCACAACCCTTCAGTGCTCGGGCCCACACTCTAGCCATTGAGAGCGCAGGCCAGGGCCAGGCCCTTCTCCTTTCTGATTTTTTTTTTTTTTTTTTTAAATCAGAGACTTGAGATAATGAAATAAAGGGCAATTCTTGATGGAGGCATGCTTCTTCCAAAGCAGCAGAGGATTTCTCTTTGCCTCATGTATGGGAGAGATCTGTGCTCAGTATACATACAAGAACTGTGTTCCCTGGAGGGCAGAAAAGACTTGGAGGGAAATAGAGTTAGGGTTGCAGAAGAATACAGAATGAGTGAGGATTAGAATTGTAACATTTTGGTGTGCTTTGAGATTTTTGTGAGATCAGATGTGTTATTTCTAAAAGCACTTTCCAGGGCTAATTATAATGATTAAGATGGACCCTCAAAGCATTGAGCACATAGACTTTCAATAAGCACTTGACGATGGACAGACACCCTTCCAGAGAAGAGAGAGATCTCTGTACAACTTTTTCATTAAAACGAGGGGGGAGGAGCAACATAGTAAAAGCTCTTATACATTAGCTGGAAAAGTTGACAAAAATAAGCCTGTAGTAAGCTTCAGCTATGAGTAGTTATTGAGAATCAATCATTTTTATCTTCGTCATCTTTGAAAAGGCATAATTATTTTGCAAGATAGATTTTTATAGCTTATACTTGTTGCCATCATAAGAACACCTGGACCTTACTAATTATTCATCCTAATATCCTCCTTCCCAGCTGGTTTTCCCCTCTTAATGTTCATTTTTACCTTGAATTATGTTGTCTTTCCTTAGTGCACTAAAACTTTCTCTTGTCTCCTTTTACAGGGTTCTCTAATTGCCAACATGATTCTAGGAATTATCATTTTGAAGAAAAGGTAAACAATGCACTTTTATAATTTATGCATAGGAAGCATATTGGCCCCACCTATTGGCTAGGCACGTGGATTCCTTTTCTCCTACTGGAGAGCGCGCGCTTCTGGCCCTCTGTTTCCGAGTCCTCTCTGTGGCAGTGACGTGCATTCCCGAAGCAGCTGACCAGGCAGGGGACCCACCTGTGCAGCATGTTCTCTCTGTCCAATTAACTCTGATCATCATTGAGTCCTTAGATCCATCCTAACCTCTGAAACCAGTCGATTGAAAACTTCACTGTCCCATGTGGTCACCAGAAGCCACATGTGACAATTCACATTTAACATTTAAATTATTTAAATACTGAGTTTCTCAGTCTCACTGGTCAGAATTTAATTGCCCAGTAGCTGCATGTGGCTGGTGGTGACTGTATGGGAGAGCCCAGTATGGGGCATTTTTAGCCTCATGGTTGTGTGGGACAGTGCTGTCACAGAAGGTGTTCATCAGAGCAACACAATGAGTGAAGGACTATCGTGCTTAGTACAAAGAAAATTCCGAATAAAGCCCAAATGGCCAGGAAAATAGAATGAAAAGCGTCAGAACTTCTTTGTGACTGTTATCAATGGAATACCAAGTCTGGTCTTTTTTTTTTTTTTTTTCCTAATGAAACAATCTGTTGGTCCACAAACATGTAGAAACTATTTTGAGCAACACCAAGAAAGGGTGTACATAGCAACCGGTGGCACCCTGACCCTTGCACATGCCCACTTACTTGGGCTCTGCTGGTGGTTTGTACTCTCAGGCACCATCTACTGAAAACATCCTGTGGAATTGGTACCTGTGCCTTCCTAATGTGTCCTTGTTCTTATTTCTGCAGATACAGTATATTCAAATATGCTTCCATCGCCCTGGTGTCTGTGGGGATATTTATTTGCACTTACATGTCAGCAAAGCAGGTGGTAAGTATTGGTTTACAAATCATTTATATTCACTGCTTGCCATGGGGCCCGGGTATTATACTTATTAATGATATGAAGAGGGGAGGGGAAAAGGTAGCAAACATTTCCCTTGTGTCCAGGCCCATGGCTCGTGGTTCTGGTCTCTGTACTTAGTATTTTTTTTCTTATTCCCTAGACGTCTCATTCCAGCTTGAGTGAGAATGAAGGATTCCAGGCATTTACATGGTGGTTACTAGGCAAGTATGCTAATTACAATAATGATAATTGCCTCTGCAGTTCTGTTTGCTGAGCTTTCTCCTAAGGGACATGTTTCTTGGCAAGAAGTGTTAGCTAAACAAATGATGCCACAGGAGAGAGGCACCTGGGATCATAAATCTGAACCACAGTGTTCACGAAGTGACAGAAAGGAAACATCGAGGTCATGGTGATGTGTTCTGTGACATGGACCCATGCTTCTCTTGGTTGCCACTGATCGAGGAAGAAAAGTGCCTCCCTGCTTGCCCAGTGCACTGTGAGTGCTTGGCTGTCTTCCATCTCTTTATGACCCACTAGTAGCCCTGTGCACGAATTTGTGCACCAATCTGTGCACCAGCAGTTCTCTGCGGGGCCTGGCTGCTCTGCGCCCGCTGCCCAGAGGCCCATCCACAGCTGGGCGTGGAACGCTTGCCTCTTTGCTGGGGCAACAACAAGCATTCTGCCCCTTCACCAGCCACTCTGTGCCCGCCAGGCTGCTCACGCTGCCCACTCTCAGCGGCTATTCCCCGGGGACTGGGGGACTCCAGCAGGGCTGAGAGGACTGGGCACCAGCATCTTATGGCTATGGGCACTGCCATCTTTGTGATGGAGTGATGGTTAATTTTCATATTACCCTTTTATTAGATAGGATTACTGAGCACAGGCTTCTTCAGGAGGGCACACTGTAGCAGTGGATTCTTTAAGTCTCCAACAGACCCATTTCTAAATCTCAGATGTATTTTCTTCAGAAGTTAGCTGTTCCACGTGGCAGTGTTCCCAGACTTGACTGGTCAGTAGAACCTCTGGAATTGTATCTCTTTGTGAAAGCAGTGAGGCAATTCCTGTAGGGCTTGGCTCTCCCATCGTGAGACACAGGGGGGAAGCTCTTCCCAGGTGCTTTCAGGGCTAGCAATGTCAGGTTGAGACTGGTCAGGCGAAAGAGAAATAGCAGGGAAGGAACTGGACTCTCCTTGCTTCTTGGATTTGAAACTTTACCCCCTTTCAGATTGCTATTCCTAACACAGAAAGATCTTTACGAGCTATTAGAAGAATACTTCATCTACAATATTAGGAGAAATTTGCAAAGGATTTGAACCTACCATTTATGGAGGAAAATATTAAATATCCTATAATTTTATGTTCAGCCTCTAACTAGTCTAATAAAGAAATGCAACTTGAATTCAAAATGCAGTATCTTTTAGTTTTGATTCATTATAATGGCAAGATAATAAATGATTATTCTCCTTGCTGCTGAGGGTGCAATAGGACAATTATTTTTACATAAACTGTTTGCATTATAAATTGACATGCCTTTCTGGAAAAAAAAAGTGTATGTATTGAGTTTTTAAAAAATATATTTTATTGATTTTGTACAGAGAGGAAGGGAGAGATAGTTAGAAACATCGATGAGAGTCATCGATCAGCCGCCTTTTGCACACCCCCCACTGGGGACATGCCCGCAACCAAGGTACATGCCCTTGACCGGAATCGAACCCAGGACCCTTCAGTCCCCAAGCCGACGCTCTATCCGTTGAGCCAAACCGGTCCTGGCTGTATTGAGTTTTTTAAAATGCCTACAATTTTTGACTCAGTAACTCCACTTATGAGAGTTCATACTAAGGAAATAACGTTTTAAAGATTTAGATATACGGATGTACAGTGATTTTAATGAAGAAATAACTGGAAGCAATCTTAACTATTCTCATATTGTAAGACAGTTAAGTACATCCACATGAGAATAGTATGTAGCCATTAAATCACACTTCTGAAAAAATTTTAATGAATGACCTGAAGGAAAATCCAGAAAAAGATCATGAAAAAAGCAAGACATAAAACTCTGTACTCATTATGGTCCTGGCTTAGAGAGATGTAGAACGCTATCAAGGACTGGATGGTAATGTTATGGCTGATTTTTTTTTTCTTTTTAAAGTTTTGTGCATATTCTACAGCTAGTTTGTGATATTTGTAGGACATGTACACAGTCAGTCAATGCTGTGTAACGAAGTATCTGGAAAGAGCGCGTGCAGGTGTCCTGTAATCGGCCTTTGTTTTGTAGGTATTGGGGCGCTGTCGTTCGCGCTCCTGATGTCCGCGAGGATGGGCATCTTCCAAGAGACTCTGTACAAACAGTTTGGCAAGCACTCCAAGGAGGCTTTGTTTTACAATGTAAGCAGTTTCTTGAACCTGGGAGGATAAAGATTACTGAGTTATGTTATTGTACTGTGTGATTTCACATGTAACATGGCAATGCTGAGGTAGCTGAAGGATCAATTTATCATCCAGTGAAGGGCTTTGGGCCCACAGGCTGATGTGCATCTGAGCCACGGCCCTCTGCACAGGTGATCACGGCCAGTCTGTGTGAACATGCCGGGAGCCACCGTGCAGAGCAGGAACCTGACCCCCGTTCCGGCAGATGCACCCAGCTTCAGACTGATCTGGAAATGGAAACGAAGCTGCAAACCCTGCATGCCCAGCGGAATATGTGCAGGCAGGCCTTGGAGAGGTTGGGGAAGACGGGCGAGAGGAGGCCCACAGGTGGGCTTCAGTCATTTTATGGCGAGTTTAAATAGCAATAATATATGCTTCGGCTTCTGTGGTTTAAACTGCTGGTCTAGCTCTCCTTCCTCCTCCCTCTCTCCTGTTGCGATAATGCCCAGAGCAAAGCCCCTCAAGGTCAGGGTGAGGTTCGGTAACTCGGATTTCCTCACTGCCAACTTTTTGTACTGTAGCTGCAGACAAGCAGTTTGGCTTACTAGTTGGAGCTAGAGTACCTGGCTGGAATGTAAAAATAACCACTCCATGTAGTTCATATCTTTCTTTTAGAACAGTAAGTGGCACATGGTGGCTTCTGAGTAAACGTTAGCCGTGATTCCTTATTCAGTTATTGTGGTGGGTTGGTGTCAAGTACATAATCTTTTGCTTATGTGTTGTTTCCTCTTCTTCTTCCACCTCTTTTCATTCTTCATTTATTTTTTTTCCTGACATTGTATTGTTCTCCAGTATCTTTTCCTACTACTGTTCTAAACAACCTGAACTCTGCCTCCACATTCCTTTTGTTGTTAATCCTCACCTGAGGATATTCTCCCCCCCTTCCCCCCATTGCTTGTTAAAGAAAGTGAAAGGGGGAGGGGGGGAGACATCAATATGAGAAACAAACATCAGTTCCTCCTGCACCTACCCCAACTGGGGCAGGTATCAAACCTGCAACCTAAGTACACGCCCTTGACTGGAAATCGAGCTGCTCGGGCCCTTGCTCTAATCATTGAGCCACACCAGCTGGGACCTGCCCCAGGTTCTTTATAATTTTTAAATCCATTGCATTTGCTTAACTATTCTCAAAAGTAGTAACAAATCTTTGGACACAATGACCGCGTGTAGTCCCTTTTGTTGTGTGTGTGTTATTGTGCCAGACAGTGTCAGGTCATTAGAAGCACTGGATACATTTAACTTAGTCTTATTTGCTTTTCTTGATTGCTTGTCAAACAACTTATAAAATTACTCATTATTCTGTCCGGTGTTGCATTTCAATTTATGTGAAATATTTCTTTCCCTAGCATGCCCTTCCACTGCCTGGATTCATCTTCTTGGCTTCTGACATCTATGACCACGCAGTTCTTTTCAATAAGTCTGGTGAGTTTGCGGTGACTCAGTAGAATTGCCTGAGAGCTTCCAAGGCAAGTTTCAGTTTTCCCCTGGACTTGCCACTGATGTTTTTAGGCAAATCCACAGGCCCCCTTAAACCCTTCCCATTTTACCTTCCCGGCATAGAGTGCCATTCATCAGTTGCAGCAGCAAAAGCTTTTGCAGGTGTTTCTCAATGATTTGCAAGAGAAGTATCTTCAAATTTTGTTTTGCTTTGGAATTATGTGTTTGCATTTGAATGCGGAAGGTTTGCTTCAAATAAATAGTCCTAGCACACAGCAGAGATGGGAGCCTTGGGAAGAGGAAGCAAAAATGGTGACAGGTTAGAGCTTGCAGGAATAAGCAAAATTAATTCAAAAGTCTACAGTATTAGTTAGCTATTACTTTTTAAAGTGACTAATAATATCAATTGCCAGTTAACTTGAAAGAAATTACTTATATGATCTGATTAGCTACTAAAAGACAGTGTTATAAACATGTTATAAGGCTTGATGTGCTCACCTCTAAAAGTGTACTGTGTAAGATGGTGGGAGGCGCCCAGTAAACATTAGCTTGCTCTGAGCATGAGCTGTGAGGTTGTACTGCTCTCTGAGTTTGCAATGTGGCCTCTCCCCCCAAAAAAATACTTGTGTGAGAAAGTTTTTAAGGCTCTGAATTACCCATTTCCGATTTTTTTTATTGAGGTGTGACTGACATACAGCTGATTTTTTGACACATGGTTTTCAGAGTTTCTGACAGTCCCCACATAGCAAAGAGCTATTTGAGTAAACACACTATCAAATTCATTTTGATTTGATTACTAGAATGCTTCTTCCAAAAGTTGCAATGCTGGGTACCTATACATTTTTCATTTTTAGAATCTGCCTTTAACTTTTTTAGAATCATCCCTAAGTTAAATATACATGTTTTTCTCTTCTTGAGTTTTAGCATCTGGAACCTATTCTTGACTTTTTCTACGAGTGTTGAATATCCATCTAAATGTTTTATATCATACTGATTGTCTCTTTCCTCAGCAAATTGATACAGTGGATCTCTGAAGTTATTAAACAGTAATAACATTTGTTAACTTTCTTTTCATTTCAGTACTTGCTGAGGGTTTCAAAGACAATAGAATCCCAGATTATTGGGATTTCTCACTAGTTGGGACATAGAGTTATCTCTTTATCTAGATGGCTTTTAAATTTTTTGCAAAAGAAAATTAATGTTCTTTTCCTAACCAGAACTCCGCATCACCTTTGGTATTTCCTAAGTTATGCTGTATATTTTAAACTCCAAAAACAAGTTAGCAATATAAAAGAAATGACCCTGAGAGGGTTGTTATGTCCTTATTAATCTTGGGCATTTTGTTTCCTCCCAGATGTTCACTGTACAAACCTAAATGTATAAAACATAAGAATGTATTTAAAAGATTTACTTCCATCACCTTACACATCAGCTAATTCCATCTTACCAGTTTCCTTCCAGACATTATTTACATAAATTCTTATATCATTGTAACCCTTGTATAGATAAAATTTATACTTCCTTTTTTTTTTTTTACTATGTATAATCCTTATATTTTAAATCTAAATGTATAGACAGTGCCTCATCTAGTCAGAGGAACTTTGCTTACCCACACATTGCTCTATCATTGGACATTTAGATTCAGAGTTTTTCCTAAGAATGGGTATTAATACTTTATGCCCCCTTAATAAGAATTATGAAATTGATTTTTAAAAAGTCAGTTTATACTTCCACCGACTGAATGGTTGCCAATTCCACGTTTACCTTGCCAGATTAGAATATTATTTGTAAATTTTCAGTTGCTAGTTTAATAGATATAAAACGTGACAGCCTAGTTTAATTTAGAATTGTTTGATTACCAGTAGGATTGACAGCATTTCCAAATGGCATTTAGTTACTGGTGGCCTTTGCTGTGTGGAGATGTTAAGCCCATATCATTTGAATGTCTCTGTGATTCACAGCCTTGCTCTGTAAAGTGGAGTCCTGTTTAGGCAAATGGTAGAGTTTATTTTAAACTTGAGAAATTCTCATTTGTTTTAAGATAGCATTGCAAGGACTCTTGAGGCTGATATAGCCTGGAATCAAGGCAAGTAAAGTGGTGTTTGGTCCAAATCTGTTTGCAAGGGAAATAACATGGTTATCCCTGTTATGTCCAGTTTGTTCAAAAAGATGAAAACTTCAGCTGTCAAAAGTAATATACTTATCTCCCCTCTTAATCTTTGCAGAATTATACGAAGTTCCGGTTGTTGGTGTGGCAATGCCCATCATGTGGTTCTACCTCCTCATGAATGTCATCACTCAGTATCCTTCGCACTCCTCTCCGCGTGGTCTTCTCTGGCACGGGATTGTTCATTCCTCTGACAGTTCAGTGACATGAGTTGCATTTCCGCTTTGATCTGTTCCGCAGTAGTAGAAGAAAGGCCTATCAATTGAGCTCCCTGGGGAGGGCCAAAGGGAGGGGAGTGGGTGCCGAGGTCAGCAGGCCACAGGGCACTGAGAAGGAGGTGCTCGGGGTGCAGGTGTAGAAGTCAGTGGGTGATGGAGAATTAATATAGGACATGTATGCTCTATGATTTCTACATGGAGTCTTCTAGTATCCTGGGACATTTCACAAGCTGAAATTCTGAAATTCCAAATGAATTAAAACTAAAATAATGCTTCTTTTGAACGACCAAGTCCATTATAAAAACTATAAAGTCCTTGGAACTGAAGAGATTGACTTCATTCCTCTCGCTTCACCTCATAGATTTGCCCTACAGAGAAGGGGGTGGAAGGACTGGGGACCAGATCAAGTAAATATAGGTGTGATGACTGTTACTGAGATTGTTACCCTCTGTCATTCCTTGGGTGATAGCCTTCACCGTGGGAAGGATCCAGAATAAGACTAATGGGAGGTTTTCGGCAGTTTGAGTTGGGACCCACAATTGGAATGGCAGGACAGGAATCTGCAGAATGTTCTACCAAGGAGCCTCAGAGCTGCCATAGCCAACCGAGTTTTCTGGTTCTTAGAATATGAACATGTAAGCCAAGAGCCATGCCAGAGACTGCTCCCCCTGCTGACCTCTCAATAGTCAGAAAACTACCTTAACCCTTTCTCTCCAGGTACGTGTGCATTCGGGGTGTCTTTATTCTCACCACAGAGTGCACCTCCCTCACTGTCACGCTCGTCGTGACGCTACGCAAGTTTGTGAGCCTCATCGTCTCCATCCTGTACTTCCAGAACCCTTTCACTGTGTGGCACTGGCTGGGCACCTTGTTTGTCTTCATTGGGACCCTCATGTACACAGAGGTGTGGAACAACCTGGGCATCACCAGAAGCCAGCCTCCGAAGGAGGACAAGAAGAACTGAGCCTGCCTGGGAGACCAGGCTCTGGCTAAGGTCTGGCTGCCATTTCTCTCTTGTTAATGAGAATCACCCCTAGCACTGAACCACCACGTACCAGAGAATCCTCAGAGGAGGGGACTTCTCAGATTTCACATGGCTTCACAGACCAACATGTGTGGACTCCGAACAAAAACCTCTCAACCCTGAATTAGAAAAAAAGAATAGTTATCTACTATGGAACAACTATTTGTTTACCAAAATATACAGTACTGTACTTGTTTATCGAGTCCCAGAGCTACTCGTTTTATATCCGTGGTCTTGCACAAGACTATCCATTTTGTTGTTGTTCTGATTGTTCTCTGCCATCACCACCATTATCTTGTGCTATCACTTTCCACTTTTCAGTCAGATGTTCATGGCATCATCGTCAGGAACAACCGAGTGACCAGGTGAAGTGAGACACTGGTGACACGGGCTGGACTTCCTCGTCGTGTTGAGAATGAAGCGGTGGTCTCTGTGAGCTGAACCCCTGGTGACAATGGAGCAGGACTAGTGGGAACCCTTTCCAAGTGGTAGGTTAAGTTCTCGAAAGGCTTTTTAAGCAAGAAGGTTGAACTCTGCCTGGCAGTTCCGGTAGAGTCATAGGCTAGTCCTAGACTCTCGAGTCCAATAATTACAGGCTATTGTTCTTGTGACTAAGCCCCAAGACCAGTGGTCGGAAAACTCTAGTCAACAGAGCTGCAGTTTTCCGACCATTGGGCTAGGGAGTAGACTAAAGTATGATGAAGGTGTATAAATTCAGGTCAAATCACAACTAAAATGAAAAGTTTTCCTTATTTTTCTATAAGGTATCTTAATGGGTATGTGTGTGTGTCGGGGAGGGGGGCAGTGTATGTGTTTCATTACATGCGGAAAGGTGCCTCCCTCTTTTTCTAAGCTGGTTTTTCTCCCATGGCATAATTTTGAGGCAGAGGAACCATGTCAGCGTGGTGTGTGTAGGTAATGTGATAATTTTGAGAGAATAGCATGAAACTCAGAGTTCTTTCATTTCCTCTGTCTTCACTTAGCCCTGGACCTTAGCTGACCTCATAGAAGCACATGCTCTTCTGTAGGTGGTTAAACTTACCAGGCACTCCCTTTTTGCACACACAACCTTTTTTCTTTTTTTTTCTGGATACAGATTTTATTTGTAAATCGACATGTGGCTGTATGGGTCCCCTGGGTTCACGCATGGTAGAGTATGTATATTCTAATACCTGGAGTTAGTCTATGGTAGGGCCTCAGAGATAATTGTCCTCGAACAACTGAGTTACTTAGGGGAAGTCACTATAGTGGCAGGATGAGGGGACTCTGAGCTTGCTCCTCCCATAAACACAATGAATGCACATCTAAATTTCAAGTAGTTGTCTCTAAGAGATAACTGAACAGCTTCTGCACAACAAAGAAAAGGGGGAGAGGCCACCTGGAGAAGATGGGAACTACAGGAGCTGTCCAGAATCAGAGAGCATCATTGTTTGCATTCTCCTTACACTTGGGTAGCAGTGGTGAGAGCTCTGGCCAACCTGCAAGGCCACAGTAGTGCATCCCCAGTCACCCCTCCTGTAGGAAGGGCAGTATAGCAAGCATACACAGCCCTTGCCCCCTACACACCAATCCAGAGTTAGAGCCACTGCTGTGCACACCCACTGGATAGCCCCACCTGGAAGGGACTCAGCAGGGCATCACTGTGTTCCTGCCCAGGGGGAAGTCCAGCTCAGACCTCCATGTCAATCAGTCAGAGCAATAGGACATACCTATGAGTGCACAGAGAGGGACCCCAGAGTGAGCCGTGCACATAGAGGAAGGGAGCTGGCAGAGTGCACCCCAACCCAGGCAGTCAATCAAACCACAAGGTGAGCCATGCACAGCAGGAAGCTATGCCTGGAGTAAGAGGGAAACAGAGTGCTGTGGTGCCCATGATCAGGTATTCTCAGACCAGCAGCAGTTAAAACAACGGTATGCTCCATTGTACACCAGGCAGCCCCTCCAGGATCAAGAGCAGAACCAGCAGGGCTCTATAGCACACACACAAGTGCAGCTGTGAACAGCCAAAACAACAAGACACCCAACCTGCTCCTTCTGGCCAGATAGCACCCTGGGCACTGCACATGCCCGCCCCAACTGAAGCCTGCCAAAGCTATCTAGTCTCCACAGATGCCACTTTACACAAGACCAAGTTTTCAAGCTCAGAAGAGAGAGCTATTTCATCTAAGTCTTAGAAACAGACACAAAGTCAAATGAAATGGAGGAAACCTAATGAAGTGGAGAAAATTAATTTGATAAGAAATTTAAAGAAACTGTCATAAGGATGCTCAGTAAATTTGAGAGTAGAAAAGAAATCGGGGACAACTTCAAAAAAGAAATTATAATAAAGAACCAATAAGAGGTGAAGATTATAATAACTGAAATGAAAAACAGTAGATGGAATTAACAACAGATTGGTTTATACAGAAGAATGGATCAGCAACCAGGAAGAATAGAGAAAATCACCCAATCATAATAACAAAACAAAAAAATTTAAGAAAATAAGGGTAGTATGAGGGCCCTATGGGACAGCATTATAGGAACCCCAGAAGGAGAAGCAAGGGACAGAAAGTTCGTTTTAAGAAATAATGGCCAAAAACAAGGGAAGGAAGCAGACACCCACATTAGAGAATTCCACATAAGATGAACCCAAAGAGGTCCACACCAAGATATACTGTAATTAAATGGGAAAAAATATTTTTTAAAATCTTGAAGGAAACAAGGGGAAAACATTGAATTACATTAAAAGGAAACCCCCCAAAAAACTAACAGTTAATTTCTCGAAACTTTTACAAGCCAGAAGGGAATGGGAGTAAATATTTAAAGTGCTGAAAGAAAGGAACCTACAACCTACAATCTGGTATATTATACCTGGCAAGGTTGTCATTCAGAATTGAAGGAAAGATAAAGATTTCCCCGGATAAGCAAAAACAAGAAGTTCACCACTAAACAGACTTAACATGGAATGTTAAGCAGTCTTTATGCAGAAAAGGCTATGCCAAAAATAAGAAAACACGGGGGTGAGGGTGAGGGTGGGGAATCAGAGATAAAGGCAAATATAAAACTAACACAGAATCAGCCACTCAAAGATCCAATATGAAGATTAAAAGAAGTAGTAAAATTAACTATAGCTATAATAGGAGCTACTCAAAGCAAAAAAGATATAAAATATATCAAAAATAAAGTGTGGGGAGGCAGTGAAAATGTAGTGCTTTTAGAGTGTGTTTAAACTCAAATGCCTGTCAGTTTAAGTTAGACTGCTACAGATATGAAAAGAACCCCAACAAAACATTAAAGGAAACCAGCAAAGCAATCAAGAAAAGAACAAAATGGCAATAAGTAGATACCTATCAATAATTTAAATGGACTGAATTCTCCAATCAAAAGTTACAGGGAGGCAGGATGTATTTAAACACAAGACCCATCTCTGCTGCCTACAAAAGACTCACTTTAGAGTGAAAGACCTACAGACTGAAAGTGAATAGATGGGAAAAATTTTTCTACAAATAGAAATGAGAAAGCTGGGGGTAGCAATAATCAGACTAAGTAGGTTTTAAAACAAAGAATGTACAATAAAATGAGACAAAGCAAGGACATTACATAATGATAAAGGGGTCAATCTAAGAAAAGAATTTTACAATCATAAATATTTACACACCCAACCTAGGAACACCTGTCTATAAAGCAAGTATTAGTGGATATAAAGGCAAAAATTAACATTAATACAATAATAGTTGGGGACTTTACTGTCCCACTTACCTCAATGGATAGATCATTCAGGCAGAAAATAAAGTAATTTTAGAATAGATTAATAAACATTTTTAGGACACTTTATCAAAACAGTGTGGATTATACATTTTTCTCAAATGCACATGGAACATTTTTCAGGATAGAACACAAAAGAAACCTAAATAAATTCAAGAAGACTGAATTTTTATCAAGTATATTTTCTAATCAGAATGGCATGAAACTAGAAACCAACTATAGGAAGAAAATGGGAAATAACACAATAGGGAGATTAAATAGTTGCTACTAAACAACCACTGGATCAAAGGAAATAACTACTTTGAGACATGAAAATGAAGGAGGAAAGTTCATAACTTTGCAGGCCTACCTCAAGAAGGAGAATTTTTTAATATAATCTAACTTTACACCTAAAGGAACTAGAAAAAAGAATAAACAAAGTCCAAAGTAAGTAGGGGAGGAAAATAATAAAGATCAGAGTGGAAATAAAATACAAAAACTATTAAAAAAAAAAAAAAAAAGGCCAATGAAATTAAGAGCTGGTTCTTTGAAAGGATAAATAAAATTGACAAACCTCTAGTAAGACTTATTCCAAGAAAAAAAGAGAGCCTAATAAAATCAGAAATGAAATAAAGGATCATTAAAGAATACTATGAAGACAGCCCTGGGCATGAGCAGGGCAGGACTAGCATTGGCTGTCTCCATGATACTCAGCTGCAAGCCCAGGAAGGGGAAACCCTTTAAGCTCCCAGGAATTTTCGATGAGAGTATTTTTTGTGCCTAGGACTAAGTATTATATGGTTCATAAGGATCTGTTGGGGCTTGCCTTGGACATTTTTTGTTAACTAGAATTAGGAGATCTTCGGGTGCTAGAGTTGGAGGATTTATCTTGGTAGTTTTAGGATGCTGGTTCCATCATAGGTATAATTATGTAACGCTAAAGATCTGAAGAAGAAATAAAAAATAAGATATATGAAACTACCCACCTTGATCCTGAAAGAAAACAAATGGCAACAGCAGCAATTGGGCAGAGCACAAAAACCCAAATACAACTCCCTGAAGTCAATGTGAACAAAATTAAGGTCAAGGATGTAAAACATTCTATGTATCATAAGAAAACTTTCAATCAAGTAAAGACTTTTGTATACCTGTATGAATATTAGTGAACTTGTAGCTCTGTATCTACATTACAGTATATAGTAGACTTGCCATATTTAAACAAAAATATGAATTATGTCAAGAAATTGGACAATCTAGAAGGGACAAATTTCTAGAAATATACAACCTTTTAAGACTAAACCAGGAAGAAACAGAGAATCTGAAGAAACCTATTATTAGTAATGAGATTGAACTAGTAATAAAACACACACACACCTGAATAAACAAAAGCCCAGGACCAAATTCCTTCCTTTACAGGTGAATTCTACCCAACCTTTAAAAAAATTAATACATCTTCTCCAACTATCCCAAAAAGTTAAAGAGGAGGGAAAGCTCTCTATTCTTGAAGGCCAGCATTACTCTGATACCAGAACCAGAAAAAGATACTGCAACAAAGTATTACAGGCCAATATTCCTGATGAACTTGGAAATATTCTCAACAAAAATACTAGCAATTCAAAATCAATACATTAAAAGGCTTATACATCATGACCAAAGGGTATCTATACCATGGATGCAAAGGTGGTTCAACATTCACGAAACAATGTGATTCATCACATCAACAAAACCCAATAGTAAAAATCATATGATCTCAATAGATATAGAAAAAGCTTGTGATAAAAATATCCATTTACAATTAAAGTTCTCAACAATGTGGTTATAGAAGAACTTACTGCAACATCATAAGGACTGTACATGATAAGCCCACAGCTAACATCATACTCAATGGTGTAAAGCTGAACATTTTCCCTCTAAGATCAGGAATAAGACAAAGATGCCCATTCTCACCACTACTATTCAATATATTATTCATTATGGAGGGGATGCAATGGTGTAATGGATTGTTTTCATTCTTCATGCAACCATTGCTGAGTTCTTGTAGGGGGCTTTAAATATTTGATTATACAGAACACCAAAGGCCTGACAGTGAAATATATTGAACAAATTAGAATAATAATGAGTAAAACAATTTTCAACCCAGACTTCATAATATCTCCAAACCAGTTGGGAAGTCAGCTAAAAACATCAGAGAATTTAAATCATAACCAGCCAGTGGTGCTTGAGGCAAAACTGGAACATCCCTTAAGAGAGTTTGCAAGTTTAAGGTGTTTTCAAGTTGGATGTTTCTAATTCTACATGAGAAGAGTTATTTAACCAGGTACAGCTGGAGGTATTGGCTATGGCAAAAAAACAAAACAAACAAAAAGCTTCTCGCTGGGTGGCAAGCAAATAATCAAGCAATCCTAGTGGTAAGCACTACTCAAGTTTAGGAATCTTAATCTGTCTCTTGAGCTTGAATGGCTTTAGTGGCTAGATGGGTTATTCTATTAATGGTTCTGCTAAGATTTCACAAGTCTGAGGGGTACCAAGGTCAGCTAGTGTTGAAATTGAAAAGGACCATCTACATGCACAGAAGTACCAGAATCATACTCAGATTTCCATGCAGTGTTTACCGTGCAATTACTTGTTTGTGAAATTTGTAATGGTTAATAGAACAATATCTTTTTCTGCCCAACTGATGTGGCACAGTGGTTGAGTGTTGACCCATGAGCCAGGAGTTTGTGGTCTGATGCTCTGTCAGGGCACATGCCTAGGTTACAGCGTCAATCCCCAGTAGGGGGCATGCAGGAAGCAGCCACTCAGTGATTCTCATCATTGATGTTTCTATCTCTTCCTCTCCCTTCTCTTTTTTATTATAAAATAAAAATATATTTAAAAATTTTTGTGTGAGTACATTTATTAAGGCTAAACAAAGAGGAATGGTTTAGGACAGAAGAATACCTCCAGCTGTACCTGGTTAAATAACTCTTCTCATGTAGAATTAGAAACAACCAAACTTGAAGCAACAGGGGAGAGCCTAGGCTGGGCTGCTTTGGCTCACTGAGAAATCAGCAAAAAGGGAGTGTGGGAGATAGGTTCAGGGGATTAGCCCAGGACAAACCACCACTGCCCATTCCACCCCTGGTTGCCAGTCTCATGGGTCCCTTAGAGTTTAGGAGATGCACACCTGAGGAAAGGCATAGGCGTGGAAGGGAGAGTGCACCTAATAGGACAAAATCTTAATGAATGTTGTACTAATGTGTGGCACATTACACGAATTAAGCAAGAAGCTCAAATTTATAAGGTTAAAGACCCGATATCCCCAAATTTTCAAGCATACATCTCAGCGTTATCTTGGATTCACCTAAATGTTACCCCACTGGGAGAGACATTTAAATATCCCTCCCCTTCAATACATCATCCTTTCTGAGAGGGAAAGGGAACACTTCAATTTCTTCACCGTTTCCACCCCTAATCTCATGAATCTGATAATATTGTTGTTACAATGCTTGCATTAAGTTGTAAAGGGTCCATATACATTTTTTATATACATGGAGCACATGGAATCACTTTAAATGATCCAATGAATTATTTTCTAGGTCCCAAAATATTTGTTATTAAACAGTAAACATGTCTTCTAGAAAGTCATGTCTGGTTGAAACATTTCCTGAATCAATGATTGTGGAGTTAAAACCAACTGCCAATAAAGACGGTTCCCTGTCAAAAACAGTTTGTTCTTTTTTATCAAAGATTCTACAGAAAACCAATTAGAATTGACAAATTCAGTAAAGTATCAGGGTACAAAATAAATATCCAGGAATCATTTGTATTTATATACATCAATAATCAACTATCAGAAAGGGAAACTAAGAAAACAATCCTATTTACAATTGCATTAAAAAAATACCTAGAAATAAATTTAACCAAGGATGTAAAAAAAACCTGTACTCAGAAATTATAAGACCCCAAAGAAAGAAATTGAAGATAGTAATAAGTGAAAGTAAATAATGTGATCATGGACACAAAGAATTAGCATCATTAACATGTCCATACTACCCAAAGCAATTTATAGATTCAGTGCAATTTCTTTCAATAAACTCAATAGATACAGAAAAAGCATGTGACAAAATTCATGCATTTACCATAAAAATTCTCAACAATGTGGATATAAAAGGAACTTACCTCAAAATCAATAGGACTATATAGGACAAGCCCACAGCCAATATCACTCAGTGGTGAAAAGCTGAAAGATTTTCCTCTAAGATCAGGAACAAGAAAATTGTGTATTTCACAGAACTAGAACAACTATTCCAGAAATGTACATGGAACCACAAAAGACCCACAATAGCTACAGCAATCTTGAGAAAGAAAACCAAAGTTGGAGAAATCATGCTACCTGCAATCAAACTATACTACAGAGTAACCAAAACAACATGATACTGCCATAA